CCATTAGCTTGCTGTACAGCACAGTCTGGTCACGAGGCAGAAATACAACATTTGATATTGCTTTTGTTGTTTCACAATTTAGTGTTGCTGCTGCCAAAGCGCTAAATGTTCCGTAACTGGTAACTGTCTTCTACTAATGCAGAGACATTTCTTTTATGAGTTATCTTAGTGCTGGTTTTCTTCATCCACGCTTGATCTTCTTCCATGATGGCCATATGCAAGTGGGATAAGGGCAAGCAGATACTGTGCTTGATGGAGACCTGCAGAGAAAACAGGCTTTCATGTCACACCATGGCCATGGCCACAGCAGGTCTCGCTCAGATACCCCAGGACTAGCAAGAAAAACTTCAGGACTCACAGGGAACTGTCTCAGTGTTCAAATGAATCCTCTGGCTGGGAAATATCAGGATGAAGCATTCAGAGCTCTTGGCAGCATGGACAGTAAGGGATGTGGGTGTATTCAGACAAAGCTTGAGAGGTCAATTATTTCATCTTTAGGTGAATGTGTAGCTTTTGTTGGCTTTTGATGACTCAGGGTGTCTTTTATGAGGCAAAATTAATGCAAGTGCTTCTCTTTTTATAGTGGACACATTGCCCAGGAAATGAAATGTCATAAGGGAAGCAAAGCTCAATTAGTTTGGTGCTGTAAATGGTTCTCCAAGGTTTCCAAAACCCTATGACTAAAATAAACACAGACAAAGGCAATTACAAACACATATATAAGACCCAGCTTTCCATCTAAAAACATGGTCCAAAATATATCCCTCTTTGGCTGTTCACAGATGTGGTGACCTAGAGGTAAGGAACCTTTCATATAAATTGTGACATAAAACAAAGCCTGAAGAAGGAATGCAGCCAACCCAGGGTGAAAGTGAGGACAACAGACCACATAATATAGTTACCAAAGTACCAGCTAAGGATTTTGAGATTCACCCTTAGAATACATCTTTTTTGGACAAATTTGGAGCAAATGCTGCCCCAGCATGTTTTCTTCATCCTGCAGGCCTCTCCCAGGCACTTGCTGTTGGATGGACTTGTTGACATTCCTCAGGATCATAGAATCATATAAGCACTTAGGTTAGAAAAGACCTTTGAGATCATCAAGTCCAACCATTAACCCTACTCTACCAAGTCCAGCACTAAGACATGTTTCCAAGCACCATCCAGGGATGGTGACTGAACTACCTCCCTGGGCAGCAAATTACAATGTCTGACAACCCTTTCAGTGAAAAAGTTCTTCCTAAAGTCTAGTCTAAACCTTCCCCGGTGCAGCTTGAGGCCATTCCTCTTGCTCTATCACCAGTTACATGTGAGAAGAAATCCTTTCAGGTAGTTATAAAGGGCAATGAGGTCTCCCCTCAGCCTCCTTTTGTTCAGACTAAATAGTCCCAGTTCCCTCAGCCACTCCTCATAAGACTTGTTCTTCACTAACTTTGTTGCCCATCTTTGGACTCACTCCAGCACCTCAATGTCTTCTCATCTTACCAGAACTATCTCAAGTCCTCATCTTGCAATGGCTGAAAGAGTGGAAAGCTTGTCAGATTTCCTAGTGAGGTCCAGAAAATTCACCAGAAGGTAATGTTCAAGAGAAGGATGAGAAGGGGCACAGCTATGCATGTATTCATAGGAGTTTGTACACCTTTTACTCAGCGTTTCTCTCTTAAAGATTGTGCATGCATGCAGAATAGACCCAAAGGCCAAGAACAAGGTGTGTTTTGTAAAAACCAAAGCATGGCCTCCTTGCCTGTCTCTGTGGCAACCCTGCTGAGAGAGGGCTGTGTTGCTGCCACGCTGGGTACGTAATGAAGGAGACAGCAACGTTCAGGCAAAACCAAGCACAAAGCCCAGTCCAGCCCAGTATCCCAACTCTGAGAGCACACAATAAATGCCACACCAAGTACAGCAGTTTGCTGGTAACCTGCTCTATAGCAATATCCCTTCAGACTTCTGATAGTCAAAAAGCAGCTTGAAGCATCTTTTCTAAACTGTTTTGTTGTTGTGTTTTTCTCAAACAGGTGTTGTCGTGACTCTAGGTACTCCATCTGTTCAAGCAATAGCACAATCCACTTTTACTCTAAATGCCAGGCTGACATCCTGCAGTAATGACTTTCACAGGCTGATTACTTGTTGCACAAAAAAAAATAACCACGTTGCCAGCAGCTGACTCAGAGAGGCAATGGGCAAAAAAAAGATGGTAGTGTTGCTTTTTTTCTCAGCAAAGAGAGGCAGGACACGGAAGGAACAGCATTTACAGTCCTGCCTTAGGATTAACTCTGGGGAGGAGAAAGGCATGGAAGTCTGGTGACTGACCTGGTGGAGCAGGACATGGTCATGTAGGTTGTAACTGTTCAAAGTTAGAAGTCCTCCAAGGGCCTTCAAACGAGGGTCTTGGGAGTTCATGTTGTTACTGTTCTGCAAAAGGTTCTTATCTAACAACCAAGCCCCACCTAAAGGAAACAGGGAATTTAGTCACTTATATCTGACCTCTGCTGTGATGTCATCAGTGTAACAATTTTACACAAAATTAGGCATCTAATTGTGTGTTAAATAGAGCTGGTTGACTTGGATTGCCCAACTAATGAAACAGGCAGCATTACTGCTATCACATATGGACTGCTCCAGGGCACTGGCGCTACAACGGCGTCTGAAATCACTCTGACTTTACAGAGAAGGAAAACACCCGTTTTCTTCCTCTGGCACCCCCTCAGTGGGACAAATACCTCTCACCCAGCTCTCACACTGGTGATGCTCCTGCAATTTGCTCTGGAGTTACGAACCTGTGTTCCTGTTGACTCAGACAGGCAGCAGAAGCTGCTGATTAACTCTAATGTGTGCCCAAGTTTTGCTTAATTAAGGATAAACTCTCTAATAACATTCACCACCATCTCCTACTGGGCTCTGGGACCATGTATACTGTGGCAGCATAGCCAGCCAGGTTTTCCTGCCCTGCAACTCACCTATGACATCCTAAAGGATGCAGTGGCAAATACATATATAACTTTATTTTCCAGCATTAAGGGTCTCAGCCTGGGTCAGGTCTCAGACCAATATCCAGTGTGGGCTCCAGGTCCTTGGCTACCTGCTCTGAGCCCTCCTATGTTGCTCAGTGCAGAAACACTGGCTCAGTCAGTACAAGCTTGGGCAGTCCCTGCTGTGCTGCCTGGGGTAGTGTAGGTACAATCTTACACACCAGAGTGAGGATTAGACACCAAGGCCCTGTGACACAAATTTCTGGCTGTGATCACTCTAAAAACACTTCTTAGTTGGTGGCTGTATTGATTAGATCCTGGTATATGCTATTTGACCTTCTGAACTATAGTTATTTCAGGGAGAAAGTGCCTCTTTTATTGCTTAATCTCCAGCACTTAACTACACTGGTTGCAAGGTCGCTGCCAGCAAGCCGCAGTCCCAAGCCAGCATCTCTGAGCATCACAGCAACAGAGAGCAGCAGGACCCCAGCAGGGAGGTGTGATGGGGTCACCAGTTTGGCCAGTCTGTGAGCATGGCCTGGGTCGGTGCCATGGACCCCATGGTGGGGCTCTGGGCTGACTCCAGATGGAGAGTCCAGTCCCTTGGCACCCTTCAGTCTGTCTGCCTACAGACGGGTTTTGGCTCTTGTCCATGTCAGAATTCCCCTGCAGCCATCTCTACAGGATTTAAGTATTCTCCCAGATTCACCACTATGCAAATATTGAAATTATCCCTTTGCATGATTATGTAGATAGTGAAATACAGATTTTATCAGGTGAGGAGCACTGAGGAATTAATGTGTCTTCTCTGCTGACAGCATCAACAGCCAGGTTTCTTTTTTAGTGAGATAAAGAATGGCCCCCAGTCTATTAATATCTTTGGCATTAAAGTATTTGGTATCTGGAATATTTTTTTTTCCTTAAGTCTTTTTCCAAATACAGTAAAAGCACCAAGTGCCACAAAATAACATGAAATACAGCCCTTACCAACAAGGGCCCAATTCTCAGAGACTGAGACTTTAATTGAGCCTTATTAAAACCAGAAACAGATTAGGAGGAGCTGTGAGAGGAGCTGTAGCCTCACTAGCAGGGCTGAAACAGCGTGTGCTTTCAGCCTGGCAATGAAGTTCCCATCTGGAAAGATGGTTGTTCACATTCAGTTGATCTAGGGTAACCAAAATGTGCTACAAGTAACAGAAATAGTGAATGTGCCTTAAATCAAGACAAGAGAGCAGCAAACTTCTTGAGATCCCTAAAACTATTTCTGATTCTATGAGGTCTAATTGAAGCACAGGGTTCAAATTCAGCCTGTAAAATGAAACCCCTCAGACTTTTCTGCTCTTCAGAAGACCCTGAGAGCAGGCAGCAGTTCTCTCTCACAACAGGTCTCATACACTGCTATGAAACAAAGAAGCCCCCAGGCTGGAATCTAACTGGTCTGGTCAAGTGGCTTTGGGACAGTAATTTCTCTGTGGGAAATGACATCTTTATCACATCAGACACACTTCCACAAAATGCTGCATAAACACCTCATACTTGTGCCTCATTCAGGCACCTTTCTTGGGGATCTCATTGCACTGAGAGCTGCCACACAACCAATAATTTGTAATGAATGTGTGTCCTGAAATAATAGACACTATCTACTCCCAAAATACTGACAGAAGAACATCAGATATAGCTGTTAGCTTTTCTTAAACTACTGATGATTTCTTGTCCATGGTGCAAATCCTTTGCATTGTGGAGCATAGCTAAGCCTGATTAGCCAGGATCACATTTTACCAGTGGGGCTGATGAGATTTATCCTTCATTCCCACACTCTGATCTGTCATGCCCATTATTTTACATCTCTCCTTGGTTTAACAAGTGGTCCATCTTCAGAGCACACTGGGAATGGTCACAGGAGGTTTATCAAGCTGGATATAACGTGGTCTGCCTCATTGGATTGGCAGTGATAAAAATTATCCCTCTTCCCTCAGGTCCTTCCATCGTCACACTGCAGAGAGCAACGACGACACTGGGCAACACTTTAAAATGTTTATTTGGACCAGTGGCCGGAACTCTACATCATCTTACAAGCAGGATGAGAAAAGGTAACCAGTAGCTATGCTGATGGTCTCTTATGTGTTTTGAATCTTTACGAGTCTGGCCTGTAGCTTCTCTTCTGTAGTGGCACTGGAGTAGACAGAATCCACCAATCCGCTAGTGGTGTAGCTGGTGAAAATAGGCTGAAGGAGGCAGAGGAATAAATTAGCTACTGGATCTCCCAGGAGTGCAAGGAATTACACAGAAAAGAAGGAACAGGAAGGGGAGGTTTTAAGTCCACAGACAAAGGCAGTACTCAGCTGGGAATGAAAAAAGTCAAATATCACTGATCAAAGAGGAATTGTCAGTAACGCTCAGACTCATCCTTCTAAAATCTCTCTCCTTTATAGTGAGATTTGCTGGACAGCCTGTCTTGTCACCACCAGACACATTTTCCTTTATTTTCTTTCTGTCTTCCCTCCCTTGCCTCCTCTCCTTCAGTTCCCCTTGTAGTCACTATTAAATGTATTCACCAAAAAAAAACATAAAAAAATCATACTTTGGCAAAACAGAAGCAGAGGTCAATGTATCTATGGTGCCAATTAGCAAAACATGCTCTTCAGTTATTCTAATGAGACATTGCTGCTAGCATCTGCTTATCGGTTCAGGCAGCAAAGATGCCCTCAGGATGCTGAGTCTCTTTGGAGAACTGGTCCATTTGCTGAACTCTTCTGCAAAGGCTGCATAGGTGTTCAGCCCTTTTGAAAATTCAATCCCAAGCAGATATTTTGAAGCCACAAAGGCCAGCTTGGCAGCAGGTTTTCATGGACTTTTGGTTGGAGCTGGTTATCTAACTGCCTCATATATTTCTGCAAGTCTCTCCTTTAACTGAATTTTCCCCAGGCTAATGTTCTTCTGCCTTAACACACTGTCATGGGCAGGATGGTCCAAGAGTAGACACTTGTAGGAGTTATCTCCCCACACACTGGACTAGCTGGAAACCATAAGCTCCTGATTAGCATGATCTTCATCTCAAACCATGCCTTTCAGTGGGACTTACTAACTTGGGTTGCACACTATGGTAAAGAGCTTAAAGCAGGTCAGTTTACACCCTGGGCTGAGCTCGCCCCTGTCTGCTGCAGAAACAGGGAGCTAGGGAGATGTATCTCTGTACATATACACCAGCCATGGTGATTTCAGGTGCTTTTTCAAGCCTTTGGGTGAGTTTATTTCCCAGGTGGTCCTGTAGAGCCGTACAGAAGGATTTCTTCATACCCTGTGAATGATTAATAAACTGCAGGAGGGATAAGGAGGAAGAGAAAATGGAAATAGGAGGGTGCTGACCTCAGCCTCGGGACTGCAAAAGAGAGGTGTGAACACAGAGCAAGTGTTGCTGGTGGGAGAAACTCACCCACCAGCATCTGGCAGTGATTTTTACACATGTAGGGTCACCAGCAGCATCACAATATCAAACAGGCAATGCATTTTAAATAAATGTCTTCCCCTGAATGACCTCTTTTCAGCAATTTTTGTTCCTTAAGCTGCAGACAGGAGGACTATCAACCGGGACAGCAAACTTTTCACCCAACACATGCCACCACTGCTGACTTTTGAGGAGTCACATGGTAATAACACCCTATGTAGCAATGGGTTACTGGCTGTGAATGAATCCCCTCCTCCTGGGTGGAAGGTGACTCTCAGACATCTGCTTTTGCAGGACTGAGCCCAAAACTTTTTTCATAGCTGTTCTTCAACTGCCACTTTTTAGTTTTCAGAAACCTTGTCAAGCCCTCATTATTTCTCAGCTGTCAATTATGTTTTCCACAATATTTTAAGCTTGGAAAAACCAAAGCATTGGTTTGGTTTGGCTCAGTTCAGTTCAGCTTCATGGGGAAGAATCTGTTTGTATTTATATGAATTCTTCTACAACCATCACTGAGACTTTTGTGAGAGTTCCAGAGAGATTTCCTGTTGCCACTGCTCTAGTAACAACAACTAATAAAGCTAAACATACCCGGTAAAGGAAAAAGTAAAGACTTCTGTGCAGAAAAGTCCCTGAGCATTGGAAACCCCTCAGGTATGACAAGTTTTTTGACCCTTGCATTCAATAATTTCTGATATCAATAAACACCTCAACATGAGGTAATTTGAGTGACATCTGCATAATAACCATGATATAAGTAAACTGAATGAGAACTCGAAGTCACTGAATAACACAGAGAGGCAGACAACCCCATCTGACAAGCCCCATGACCACCCAGTGCTGGAGGAGACAGTACCTTTCTCTGGGGCCCACCATGGTCCATTTGCAAGGGAAGGAACTTGAAGGCAGGTATATTGTGCATATTAAAAAATAAATTAATTGCAAGTTCCAGTTTATTCTAGATATTCAGGGAGGAAAGTAGACCCCCCTTGCAGTGCTCCTAGATCTACCCATTTTTGAGCAAAGAAGAACTGTTGTACTGGGTAAGAAGCAGCTTTACTTGAGCCTCTTTTGCTCTACATGACATGCCCAGTTACAAGCCCTTGACTTACCAGACTGTTGCCAATACATGTCAATAAATTCATCATATCCCTGGAGCTGCAGAGCAGTCCTGCACCAGAGCACAGAGCATGCAGGGTGCACTTGGAATGCCTCATCCTTCACAGAACCGAGCACTAAAATGCCATGTTCTCATGATGGCAAAGAAAGGTCTTGGCTGCAGCAAATATGAGTAATTCCACAGAAGATACAGAATTTCTTATTAAGGCCAGTAGTCTTAAACCAGCACTGTAATTCTCCTCAACTGACTGGTGTTCAGGCTGACTAATGTAACCTGGGCTGCTAATTTTATCCCACAGGTCCTCCTTAAGCCTTCCTCTGGAGATCACGTAGGGAGCTACTGACTACATTGCAGAGGGATCCCCTCACTGCTGATGTGCAGAGATATGGAGAGGGAGACCTGTCCTCTGTGCCCAGCAACCACCATCACAGCTGAGATTTCCTCTGTGGCAGCTGAGCCTGAACAGAGTGGTCAGCCCATATCCTCTGAGCAATTTGGCAAAGGAACATGGAGATCTAGCAGAGGAGATCTTCAATGTGGAAATGATGAGACCAAAGACCATTTGTCCTTGCGGGGGTTGCTTTCTATGAAATCTCTGTAAACAGGGCAAAGACCCCATGTTCTGGCTTCTTTAAAAAGAAACAGCCCCCCTTGGTGTTATGTTTGGGGAGTTATCACAGGTGATCACAAGTATTGGCTGGAGTCACCTAGATGAGTAGTGTCAGGGACGCAGTGATCTGTACTTAAGCACACGGCAGCAGTCAGCTAATTGTGGCTGGTGTGTGGCTGTATAAGCACAGCTCACCGAGCAGAAAGAGGTCTCCAGGCTGTGCCAAAAGCTCACTCATACACAAACCCCTTCCACGGAGCAGCACACACACACACACGCAGGCCTCACCGCTGAGCTCCAGCTGAGAAGATGCTGAGGCTGCTCCGTTACAGGCAAAACATTCTGCACAAGGCATCATGTCCCCCAAAACCAGGGCTCCTGGGGACAAAAAAGTGAAGTCTGGTAACAGCAGATAGTCCCAGTATCACAGAGAGCAAAGTGGTACCTCCTGGATGAGCAGGAGGAGCGGGTGGTTGCTCAGGGTGTCCCTGGGGCTGCCTCAGGTGCTGGCACAGGCTCCCCCACCACAGCCTCAGCCTGTGCCCCCAGACCGGCTCCCAGCACCCATTCGGGAGAAAAAAAAGGCTGCAAGGTGCACCAGGCCCTGCTGTTCAGGGCTTGGAATAACAAATATCTGCAAAAGAGCAACAGAACAGCTGCTCTGAGAACGAGGCAGAACTTTGTGTGTTCCCCATGGCGGGCAGGCCCTGAGCACCCACCCCACTGCCAGGCACCTGCCCCACAGCTCATCCCCGCAGCACACCCTGCCTTCCAGCCTTTCTACCTCTCATTGCACGTTTCTTGGCTCGAGGCCACGAGGGAAGTATTTGCAACCAGTCTCAATTAGCTATTTGTTTTCAAATTGTCCATTTGTATCCTTTTTATGTCCTGGCGGCTCTGGTGACATTAGTGAGCAATTGCACAGCCTCTGGTTTATGTCCAAGCGCTGACATAAGTTATGCTGTGTGATCAGTTAATGTGCTGGAACTGTGTGACAATCTCTGCCTTCCTGCCTGCTTCCATTTGGTAGCAAAGCAAATCCTAACAGCATCTCTCAGAGTTAAATACAGTTTGATAAATAATAATAGAAAAGTAATATTAGGTTATTACTCTACATTACTTCTTTGAAGGCATTCACATCTGTCAGTTCACAGTATATTTATTCTCCCCAACACTAGAGAAAAAATTGACAGGCTGAATTACCATTGCATTTCCAACTCGGAAAATGTTGACAAGCTTTAATGGATAGTTTTGAAGAGAAACCATGGACATCTAAAGATACAAATTACAGCTGAATGAAGAAACATCAAGGGGTCTTAAGTAAAGGAGACTAGTGAGTTCAGTACCATCTAAGCAAAATTTTTGCTATAAAACCCTGCACCATATGTGATTTTCCTGGCTATGACTCATCATCTAAACTCAATTGCAGTTTCAGGGCGATTACAGTTAAGCCTATTTTATAGATTCTACTGTGTTTACATTTGATTTTACATCTGTCTTACCTCAATTTCTTTGTCCCATTGGTGAATATACATTATGTGGTTGGTCTGACACATTGTGCTTTTTTCCAAGGTTGAGTGAAACTTGGCAGTTTCAGCTTAAATGAGTGGCGGGTTTACTAGAGCCCAAAGGGATGTTGATGTTACTCACCTGCCATTTTGCAGACAGTAGAAGAGGAACTTCTTCCACGTGTACTACTATGTCCATGTTATGGTGGTGCCAGGGCTCAGAGGTGTGCTGTTCACCTGCTTCGGGTGCTGCCTGGATGATTCAAAAGAACTGTAACAGAAAACACAGGAGTTTTTGACCAGCCTCAGGTCTGTAAGTACATTTTAAACCCACAAAGTTTGAGTGTGTTTGAAATGTACTCAAATATTTCCTGCTTCGCTATTGTGTCCTCATGACCCATCGAATCATCAAGGGCTCAGAGATGAAAGAAGGACTTATGGTTAAAAAATGCAAAGGACTCTCTGCTGAAGGGGGAATGGTTTGTTGTATCTTTTTTTTTTTTCATCTCAGAACAAATAACTTTGGTGGATAATTTTATGTGAGGGCTTTCACTGTAACGAGTAAGTGGGCTTCCAGGAAGCTATTTTGTAAAGAAAGTAAATAAGCTCCCAATCAAAAAGCCCACAGAAATCAATTGCAAAATCCCTATAGTGTTTCATGAGCTTTGAGTCGCTCTCAGGGCTGGAAATTTCCCAAGCCACCAGCCTGTAGGGAGTGACAGAAGAATGTGGTCCTTTCAGATAACATTAGTGACAACTTTCTTCAAGCTATTTCCTACATATGGTAACCTGAGGCAACCATGTGCAACTGAAGAAAAGACACCTCATACACCTAAACATCTTCTAGGGGGCTAAGATGGCATTGACAGGTCAAATTCACCTATGGTGTCATTCAGCTGAGCCAATGAACCTGTACCAAAATAGGATTTACTGAGCTGGCACAAGTGTCTAATCTTTATATTTGCTATAAGACATTTTTACCTTTTCAGAAATGGTTGTAATTTATTTTGGATATTAATAAGTTTCCACCAGGTCAGAGTGAATCCAATGAAAAAGGACATCTGAGGACTCTTAAGCATTTCCCTCCCACAAGATGGGTATGGAGGTGGAACTACCCACCCCATAGAGCACTCAGTGATTAAGTATGAACTTCACATAAAATGTATTATTTTCAATCTCAGAAATATTTACCAAAAAATCAGGGATCACGATCTACTGGACAAAAAGAAAACAGTCACAGCCCTAAAAGCTGGAGAAGACCGGGCCATCCTGCTGGGGCTGGCCATGATGGTGTGCTCTATCATGATGTACTTCCTCCTGGGAATCACCCTGCTGCGGCCGTACATGCAAAGGTAAGTTCATGATGGTTACCCTTAGCTCACACACTCTGCTCCAGCTGACTTCTCATGGCTTATTCTTTTGACTCTTTTTGTTAAAGTTTTATAATTTCTCCTTTGGTCAACATAGACCTGATTCTCCACTTCCCTACGCCAGCATAAAATAGACACAACTAGATTTAAAATGAGTAATACCAGCCTAAGGGAGAGAAGAATTAGATCCCTCTTGGACAAAATCTTGATCCATAGGCTTTAGACTTGCCACAGTTTAAAACCAGTATAATATCCATAGCAGCTGGCTGGCAGTCCTCTGAACTCTGCAGGTGTCTTTGGGGCTGCTGCTAGAAAACCCAGTCAAACTCAGGAGAAAACAGCAAAAATATTTAGCATCCTCAAGAAACAACAGTTTCAAATGAAGAATGGAGAATTAATTTGGGAAAGGAATCAAGCTGCTCTGTAGCACATAGTTTTCTCTGTAGGGTATTACTTTCTTTTTAACAAGTGAAATCCTCCTGAAATACAGTAATTTTCTGAAAGTGAAAGATCATCTTTCATCATTATTGCTCTGTACTTAATTTTTCTGAGGTCTTCTCTGCCATGGAGCAGGAATTTTGGCCCACAATTCATTAGCAGCACTTGAAACCAGCCCTATTTAAAATCCAGCCCAGGCTGTAATAAGACTGTCAACAATGTTTCTTCTGCCCTGATCAGTGGAGTTAGCGTAATGAAAAAACATGTAATTGGGCATCCAAACATTAGTCTATCATGCCCAAAATCACCCCAAGGCAGTGGCCAACATCTGACACATTTTGGCTTATCCACCACAGGCTTCTACCTACAGTTAACTGGTGTGAAAACCCTCAATTATATTGGTGCACCTGCAGAAAATGTTCATTCTTGACCCTGCAACAGTAAGAAAAAAGTAGTGATGCCTGAGGATAAACTATACTGATTTGCAGCATCTTATTTATGTGATAAAGGTATTTGCCCCTTTTTAAATCCAAGCAAAGTTTAGATTTTGAAAACAGAGATCAAGACCTGTTTTGCATCCAAAAGCATTTGCTTTTCCAAATTGCTCTCCCAGACCTTTCAGGGCCAGTTGCAGAGGCTGCTAAGGTCAAAATTGCTCATGTGGAAAGAGATGATTTATATTACAAGCTGTGTGAAAAATTGCCAGAAGATATCTAAGTACCTACAAAGTATTAAATATTCCATCTTCACAAGTCTCTTGTAGGTAGGTGTTACTTTATTACACCCATGCATGAATAAAACAGCAGTCAGAAAGGAGAAAGTGAGGAGAAGATGACAACCCAGGAGTCTTTGCTATCACTTCTCTTCACACAGCCAGAACTCCTTAGGGGTTATTCTTCATTACAGACAACAAAATACTGCCTGGGAGGGGAAAAGAAATTCCTTTCACTTGATTCCCCCCAGAAATCGTAGCATAATTTAATATAAATGTGAAACAGAATACACAAGCAGAATTACTGCTGAAGTAAAATACCAAGAGAGGTAGAAATCTTTGATAACACTCACTGTGCAAAGCTTTTTGTAGGTTTGGCAAAGGGGGGCAGACCCTCAGACAGCTCAGGGTGAGGGGCAGGATAGCTGCCCTGGGTGTGAGCTGAGGGGCCCAGGGGCTAAAGGGAACCCTGGGGTGAAACTGTTCCCCCAAGTCCATGAAGGGCCTCACACAGAGCCCTCACTGTACCAGTCCCACTGCTCTCATCTCTAAGGAAAAGAAAGCTGTAGATTTTTAAATACAGACAAGGAACCCAAGGGAACATTGCTAGTGCACGCCAAGTCTCCATCATTCCAGTTTTAGCCTCTGGTGAATTGGCTATAAGCTGAAATCCACCAGAACAATTACAGCCCCTGGCTTCACTTACAGAAAGCTGAGCAAGCTGCCACAGGAAAAGCCTTTCCATAGGTGAAGCCACATGTGGCAGCACTTGCCTGTTACTGTGTCTTCAGGCACATGAATCTACATATCCTGGTAGTGTAAAGCCATCCTCCCAGTCTCTACTTTAAGCTGAACTGGGCTTCACATTTAACCATCAAGTCTTGCTCCAGCTTGTCCTGTTCCAGTTCCCTTTTTATGTTTATACACAGACATAAGTGTATTGGGTGGTTTTATTCCCAAAACACAAACCTCTGGTACCAAAGAACAACACGCTGTGATGTGCACATGAGAATTCCCAGCCTTAGCCCAAAGCCTTGCAACATGTCCTGTCTCCTACAATATGCTCCCTGGTATAATCTGATGGAAAGCCTAAGCTGCATTTAGTGCTTCTTGCCCATTCTCACCATGTTCTAACATCTCTTTTTTTCCTACTTAGTGTCTGGACAGAAGAGGCTCAGTGCTCACTTCTCAATGCATCCATCACAGAAACCTTCAACTGCTCATTTAGCTGTGGCCCAGACTGCTGGAAAATCTCTCAGTACCCCTGCCTCCAAGTGTATGTTAATCTCACCTCTTCTGGCCAGAAGCTTCTGCTCTACCACAATGAGGAAACAATGAAAGTTAATTCTGAGGTAGGAGCATGGAACAAAACATCTTCCTGAATGGGTTTCTGGAGGGATGCTCACCTTGTTATACCTATTCTTCACTTTAAAGCAATCTAAGTCTTCCAGCTCCTGCTTCCCTGGTAAATACAGAGCAGAGAAGGCAGAAATCAGTGCACAAAGTGAGCTCACACATCTGAAGGGGGCAGTTTTCCACCTCCATTCCATGCAGGGTGGAGGCTGGAGCCTCCTTCATCCTTTGCCCATGCAAGCTACGCTTGGCAGGCACAGGCTGGCACTGAGCACTTCCCACAGTGGTATTCTCATGGAGCTGTGGACAAATCACTTCCACCTGGGTGTGGCTCTGCACAACTGCAAACACCCCAGGGATGTGCATGGAGCATGCTTACCTTAAAGGTAAGATTGGAAATGGCCTTATCACTGTGGGGCAAGGCAGGGTGATGGAGAGGGAGAAGATTCCTGTCCAACATCAAACATGTCTCTGTCTCAATTTCTGGTGACAAACTGTGCACCCTGAGTATCTCCATTGAAGTCAGATATGCCCCTGGGGTCAAGGCATGGCACATATGCTGCAGGTGGTGCAAAGATGCTGAAAGCTTGAGGAACAGAAACTGTCAAGTTAAAAGCAGCAGCATGGAAATAAAAGGCCTGGAGCATGGGCATGTATGAGTCAAGGAAGTGGCCTTTCTTGCACAACTTCCCTGATTCCCAATATTGAACCAAAAAAATATTTTTAACAGATCTGTAGAACTCCTCTCTCTGCTCCCACAACCACAAAATCCAGCATAACTCCATCCAGGCGGGATGGAGACAGCTCCTGCCTGGAGGCTCTGATGAAGGCAGCGGGTGCACAGCAGGCACAGGCAGAGCTGTGCACCACACACCCCCTCCACAGAGCAAGGCAGCGTCAGGCTAAGAAATAGTCCTCTCCCCACCTTCCCTTCTTTGTATCTACAGCACCTGGGTATCTCAGATCTTAAGCTGCAGTCAGCCAGCAGGCAGCTAATTCCTGAGACTTGCAAGTGCCAGTTTTGCATTGACTACCTAGTTCTCCAAGGTCACTGAACCCCAAACTACAGGCACTCGAGAAAGTGCAGCCCATAACAGCAGAGCCCCAGTTCAAGTTGCTGACAACGTAACCTATTGTGTTGCTATTTATGGCAGCAGTTCAGCAGACCAAATTACTTCTGCATATTAAGATGAAGCGATATTAAAATCAGTCAAAGCACAGAGTGGTTGCACCAGGCTGGTTATTCTGCTGGATAATTAGCTGAGAGACAAAGTTCTCTGGATCTGCAGTGTGGAAAAGAGTGTCCCGTCCTCCCCTCCAGCTCAGCAGGGCAGAGAGGAGGTACTTGCCATTTGTGAAGCCTGTGGCAGGACAGACCCCACTTTCTGCTGAGACAGGAGCAAAATCCAGTGATGCTCACAGCACAGTTTGGGTCAAAGTAATCAGATCAGTCTCTGCACTCCACTGGATTAAAAAAAAAATAAAAATCAAGAAATTCATCACAAATCTCCACATTCTGTTATTGATGATTTTTGCTTGGTGAAGTGGACTTTGAAATTCTCCCAGGTACCATCTCCTCTTAATTTGATGTAGGCACAGTTAATACTTCTCCTGCCCAAGGTTGTTTTACAGGTTAAGCTCTGCTCTCAGGAGGATTCTTAGGTTTTCCTGACATGCTGCAGGCTATGTGACCCGAATCCAAATGCAGTTTTTAATGGAAGTTTGCAAGGCCTATGAAATACCTGGCATCTCATTCCTGGTGGGGGCCAGCAAAGACTCCAAGCCCAGATCAGCACAACCCATCCTAGCTCTACAGATGCTCCCCCTTCCCCAGCAGGACAAGCAGCCCTGAGTACAGCTGGTGTGTGATGCTCCAGCCATGTGCCAGCTCCCTCCCTCCACCCACCTACCCAGCCCTGCATTTCCTATTTATTTCCTCACCAAATAAACAAAACCCCATCCCTGACTTCCTGAGGAACACCATTGACCTTCAAAAGGCCAGCATCCCCCCACCAGCCCCTCTGCCCACTGAGCTCCACCACACACCCAGCAGCATCCAGAGCCCATTCCACTCCTCTCCCCAGCAGCTATCATGGACAGAGCAAAATGCACTTAGATTTTAAATTATGATTAATCTAAGAGATTTGCTGTCTAACCCAGCTGTCAGCCCATAAGGTGAGCAGTAGGTTGAGTTTATATTGAGATCTATAGCACACTGCTGCCAGTCTCCAGTGGGAATCAGTAGGAAGTCAATGGATACCAGCTGAGCTGCATGATTCTTTCTCAGGAAAGCACACAAGGTTTCATGGCTTTTTGTTGTTCTCACTGTGCACGTTTTGTCTCTAGCCTTTGAGAAGAGCCCAGCCCCAATGTCAATACAACCATAGCTGCTTAAATGCTTTCACAAAGCACTTTCCCTTCTCAGCTGTCAGAGGCTGTAGCAGCTTCTGGAGAGGTGTATCAGCTGGTGTTCCCTCACACACAGACCACATAGCCAGGCTGGCACCCTAAGGAAGGGCTGAGGTAGTTAAAGTAGTTCTAGAGTCCCCATTTCAATCTCATACTATGTAATTTTGATTCTTTTCATGTCATGGCAGCTACCACTGATTTATACCTGTGCTCCATGAGTGAGATAACAAGCAGGCTTTAAACACCAGAATATTTGTTCTGCCTGATATAACTGCCTGAAACTCAGAAATTATGGGGAATCTCATGGTCTCCCACCAAACATTCAGGTATTTATAATCCAGGAGGAGTCTGCCTGGTGCAGAGGAGCCAGTGATGTTTGGCTGCAGTTCCCAAATGACCCACTTCTGGGCTGGAGAATTCAGTCTGCAGGAATCAATATTAGGCCAAAGCACACACAAAGCACCTCCTTCAGCCCTCACTTCAAACCTGTTGCACTTTCCAAAGAGATGTTCATTGACATCCTGACCACTTTCTCACAAAGATTACCACATCTTACCAAAGTTTCTAGTCCCAGCTTCTAAGCTCAGCTTGACAGGGACATACACCTTATCACAGACATCTGACAAGAGCCACGTATTTCACAGTCCAGCCTCAACTGAGGGCTTATCTGGAAATGAAGTTCTTGGTGTAACTGTTGTCTTAAATCAAACTGCCTCCAACTTTCTTAGAGGTGATCTCTGTCCTTGGAGGTGCTGTTGACTTGACTGGAGAAGTCCCTGAGCAGCTCTGCACAGAGTAGGGCATTGGACTAGACATGTCGAGAGGTAGTTCATACAGGCTACATATCCCATCCTTCAAATTAGAAAAGCTGAGCTGAAAATTAATAACAAGTTCTTTCTGCAACTGCTCAGGGTGTCCTTCCTGTGACCAGACTGTAAATAACACAAGAACCACCTTTTCTCACATTGTATCACTGTACCCTCATTTGAGGCAGAGTGACAGATACTGTTTACTTTCAGATGTGCAGATTTCCAAGTGTTTTAAAATGCAGACATGTCATAGAACAGCATAGATTTAGTAGCCCACATTCACAGCATTATGACTGCAGATATAAAATCACCTTCCAGGCACTGGAGAAAACTAAATTATGATCTAAACAAAGAAAACACTCAAAACATCCCTTTATACACATCTACCTACCAGTGGCCTGTGCAGCACAGGAGAGCCAGCCCTGAGCTCTCCCTGGGATCTCACTGAGGAATTCAAGGCATAGAAGGAAGCCAGAAGCACCTCATCACCACCACAATGCACACAGAGCCCTTGTGCTGAGGAGCTCCTCAAAGCTGAGGCCAAGGTGCCTCCAGGAGCTCAGGAGAACTGGTATGAGGTAGACAGCACATGGAACAAAGGGCACCCATGTTTTGGAGAGCCCATGGGAGACCATAGCCTGGAGGGAGATGGTTTCAGTACAAGGAGCCTGGCTGAGAGGCAAAGTGAACCAACCTCCTTTGCACAACTTGAGCTCACAGCTTTGTGCTACCAGACCCTCTTGGCACAGGCACAGCTGGTGGCTCTGTGCCTTCAGGTGTAGGAGGCAACAGCTCAAGTTCTGCTACAGCAGTAAGTCTCCTTTGAAAACATTTGGGAAATGCTCAGATTGCAGGAAGTCAGGCTTCCCCCCACTGCACTCGTGGGACATTTCCACAGACTCAGAGTCCAGGAATCTGTCATCATTTGGGCTTTTAAGGGTCTGGTGGTTTCTAAGGGGGCAGAGCTGGACTTCAGCAAGAGTGGCCAAGTCCCCATTTAATCTCCTTGCTCAGGACAATAACAGCTGGGTCTTTAAGAAAAAAAAAAAAAAAGTATAGCACCAAACTTGGCAGAAAAACAACAAGAAAGCCTATCTGAGCTGTAAATACTGCTGTTGCCACAGTGATAGCACATAATTTAGTAAAAGAAAATGAGGGATGCTTCACTAAGACACTTCCCCTAATTATTACATTATGATCTAATAAAGAGTTATAGGCACTGGAAAAGAGCTTGTGGCTTTGGACATTTAAGACAAAGCTGGGCAGAGAGCAAGAGAATATCCTAGAGGGAGCAGACCTCTACCAGCAGGAAGAGAGATGAGATATTACTGCTCTGATATTTTCCATCTTTAATTTCTAGAGCTCTATGAAATATTCATAATGGCAGTGCTGTCACGCTCTGCCCTTAGTGCTCCAGTCTGCTCACACTAGCCACTCTTTCTGCAGTGCTTCAAACCATATTCTGTGCTAATAAACTTGCCAATGAATCAATCAAATCCTGTTATGAGGTTAATCCTTTAAGCGTTATTAGGACAAGAGATTTGTTGAAGTACATTCCAAAAAAGTCACAGCATAGTCATGAAAAAGACTGGGGGGACATTTATAAAGTATAGACATTAAAACAATACCAATTAAAAGCCACAGGTCACTTTTTTTAAATTAAAATGTCTTGTTTCCTTTACAAAACTCATTCCTTCTCATTAAATTATCTGGAACTACTTTAGGTGCCCACCCAGGACAAGCAGGTTCAACAGAGCAGGCAGGGAGCAGGGTGGGACCCATAATCATCCTACAACTGCCAAGGAATTATGATCTGCTGGGTCCCCCTATGCACAGCCAAGGAGTTTAGCAGCAGATTTCCAGCCCTTCTGAAGCAGCAGCAAAATTAATCAAAATCCTGTGCAGGTGTAGAAAACCTTCCAGTGGGGAGGGGCATGAGGGTCTAGAAGAGTGGAAGGAGTGAGGGGCCCTGGACTGCTCGCATCTTCCAGACCAGCAACAGCAAATTCAGGTGTTTCTGCTCTGGGTTAAAAACCAGACATGACCTCAATCCTGTGTCTGTCTACCACCGCTCATTAGCTCTTTGCAGGGAATGGCCAGCAGAGCCCAGGGAAACTGTCCTGCACTGTCTTCAATGCATGGGCTTTGTAAGCTAGATTTTTAATTAACGTGCCTTTAGGATTCTTTGGGAATGTTAAGTTGAAACTGCATTAGATAGACCCACCCTCAAACCTTCTTGTCTTTGTGACTGAGACTGAAATTCAAGCAGCATCTCTAGGGAGAAGGAACTGTTGGACTTATGCTGGGGTCAAGAGCAAAAACAAGACAAAGAGCCAGCCTGGTAGCCAGGCTGATCTTCAGCTAGAGGGAAATGAAAGCCTTTTGGGCTGTCACTAGGAAAACTACTTTCTCTCCTAGGCTATTTATTTGTTCATTATCCCCCAGGAAAAATTTGTATGAAAGTCTCTCATCAGCTTTCTCTTTCACGAGTGCCCACCACAACCACTTTGATCTGATCCAAGTGAGATCTGAACTACCACATTTGTACTTACAGAGAGTCAATTCCCCATCTAACCATGAGCATGTGTGCCACTTAAAATGAAGAGGTACTTAATCAGATCCATTTTTGCATGTGTAAATTAGCAATAATAATATATTCACCTATCTCACGAGGCCACTGTGCAGATTAAAGCATTAATGTTTGCACAGCACTTGGAGATGCTCCAATGGGAAATTCTGTAGATGTGCAAAATATTGAGTTTTGTCTGTGATAAACTTATTATTAGCTTAATAGTATTCCACTCTTATTATGAAAAGCATAAGCATCTTGAGATTTTCCTGCTTGCCACCTGAAAACACCCTTTGTGTCTGGTTTGGAGATGCATTTTTCTCCCTCTAATTTCTTCCCAGTGCTCATACATACCCAAGTGTGGCAAGAATTATGAGGAATCCATGTCAATGGTGAACGTTGTGATGGAAAACTTCAGGAAGTACCAACGCTTCTCCTGCTTCTACGACCCCGAAGGCGTCCAGAAGAACGTGATATTAACCAAACTGTACAGCTCCAACGTGCTGTTCCACTCCCTCTTCTGGCCCACCTGCATGATGATCGGCGGGGTCATCATCGTGGCCATGGTGAAGCTGACTCAATACCTTTCCCTCATCTGTGAGAGCATCCAAAGGATCAGCAGATAAAAACAAAAACTCCCGAGATCCAATTACAATGAAAAACACTGTTTTCTCATTCTTCACCAAAGAACCTTAAGTTTGTAATGTGCAAGTCTGTTCTAAGTTCCTTATTATATACTTATAAGTAGAGCAATAATGCAAAAGCTGTTCTATATGCAAACATGATGTTATTATTATGCAGAAAACTGAAAAAAAATACTGTTTTGTGTTGACTGTCTGTATGATCTCATTTTATGCTGAGACTAGTACTTCTTCCTTTTCAATGGCCAAAATAGGGCTCAGTGTGACCATTTGCCAAGTTTGCTCAACTGACATTTTCAATGTAAAGGATTCTGGGGGAAATTCACCACTGGACAAAGGGCAGCCAACCACTTGCACATCACTGAGGTCTCACATCTGGCCCTGTCCAAAAAAAATACAAATAGAATCGATAGGGTTTGTTAAGATGGCACAAAAGGAACATGTTTTGAGGCCAGGATAAGCATACAGTATTTTCAGCCTCTGAAGGACTTGATGATGCTCTGTGTTTGCTCCCCTGGTTCAGAAGTAAATTTTACCCTATGGTACTTAAGGTCTTTTGGAAAACACTTTGGGGTTTTATTTAATGTTATAATTTCCTTCTGTCTCATCAAAATCATCTCTGTCACTTGCAGAAGCTGTAGCCAAAACAAAAATCACCTTGTTCCATTTGCTATTCTAGTCTGAGCCCTATTGATGGAGATGGGACCAGAACACCTTATGTAAAGGTTTATTACTCATTTGTCTTGTATTTGCACCATATCACTGTAAAGAAAAAAAAAAAAAAAAACACAATCAGCTATTTTTTCATTTTTTACTTCCAACTATTTTAGATTTTTTTACTTGATATATATACAGATATATATAAAGAAAAAGCTATATTATATCTAGTTGTGTGTTGGAACTTGATTATGGTGGGGGCTTTTTCCTTTGTTTTTACCAACTGGAAAGTCAACAATATAGCTCATGTATTTATAACCTTCATCCTTGGATAATATCATAACATGGAGGAGCAGCACTGCAGGATCTTATCCAATATTCATGATATTGTTTCAGTCAAAGGTCACTGTTGTTGTGACATCAAAATTGACAAAAATCTCATCCAATTCCATGGCTCTATTAACTGAATTGTTAGATAATCATCCTAATACATCTGAAAATCTCTCCTGACCTTAACTCAGTATGCAGTGCTGGCTGACATGAATTATTATTTTAAAGGGCCAGGTGTAATGATTTATTGGAAAAGTTTTACTTCCAACTATTTTAGATTTTTTTACTTGATATATATACAGATATATATAAAGAAAAAGCTATATTATATCTAGTTGTGTGTTGGAACTTGATTATGGTGGGGGCTTTTTCCTTTGTTTTTACCAACTGGAAAGTCAACAATATAGCTCATGTATTTATAACCTTCATCCTTGGATAATATCATAACATGGAGGAGCAGCACTGCAGGATCTTATCCAATATTCATGATATTGTTTCAGTCAAAGGTCACTGTTGTTGTGACATCAAAATTGACAAAAATCTCATCCAATTCCATGGCTCTATTAACTGAATTGTTAGATAATCATCCTAATACATCTGAAAATCTCTCCTGACCTTAACTCAGTATGCAGTGCTGGCTGACATGAATTATTATTTTAAAGGGCCAGGTGTAATGATTTATTGGAAAAGCCAAGATTCTGACTAAGATATTGTCCTATCTGTGAAATGTTTACTACAGGGACCTTGCCAGCATAATTTCATGCACACCGTGGTCACAATTTCTGCATAATTTATCTTTACTCCTCTGTAGGAAGCATTCCTTCTTATGTTTTAAAGATACCTCTCTCAGTTTCTCACTTTGCACTCGGCCTGAAGGACAAAAGCAAGGCAGCTCCTGCAAGCAACCTGTGAACTCATTATTCAATAGCTCAAAAAACACATTTACAGGCCTATTCAAACCAAGAAACTAACTTTTCCCCCCCTCAAAAAGACTACAAAACAAGTATTCTGCCTGGTTCATCTATATGTAAGTACTTCTCCACAACAAAGCATTAAAAATTTCAAGATGTTACAGAACTTTACAAGTCATGCAAGTGTATCGTGAGTTGTAAAAAAAATGAGTTCTCAGCAGTGAAAATGAACCTGCAATCTTGTAATCAGTAGTTTAATTTTCCTTAGCTAAATAAATTCCTGGAGGGCAGGGGTATAATCAGGACTCCAAAAATATGTAATAAAAACATTAAATTAAATCTTCCAGATTTCAATACCTTCTGCCTTCAGATCTGGCTTGTTTCATCAGACTTTTCTTTGTAGCCTCTGTTTCCAAGAAATGAGAAGGGCTGATGCAGCAGGGATACCATAAAGGTTTATTTGCAGAAATGTTGCTTTGATTAATCTGTGGGATTTGCAGAAATCACCATCAGCGGATCTGGAGTCAAAGCCTTCGGTGGCCTGACAGCAACCTTAACTCAATGACCCATCTGCCAACAGAAAGTGTAACACCCCAGTGACAGAGTCAATGGGGACCTCAGTCCAACTGCCGCAGCATCTCAACCCTCTGCAGTGCAGGTGTGGTGCCACCATGCAAGGACATGGGGATTCCCCACCTGCTGCCCATGACATGAGGGTCTCCAGGTGCTCATGGTTGTTATAAAACCTTATTTGGCAGGTTTTGCCAAGCAGGAAGGTGTCTAGGCAAGTCCCCACAGCTGAGGAAGCAACTTGACCCATTCCTAGACAGCCCAGGTGGCTGTCAGGGTGCATCTTCATCCTTAACAAAGTTGTTTGCCCTTCAAGCAGAGAGGTTTGGTCCATGGCTGGTTTTGCCATCCTCAGGGATGTCCTTCATCCATCTATCTGTCATCAGCTTGGTTACCAACACCAAAGGAAGGATCATGCTGCCAACTGTGGTACACAAATGGTTCATGGCCTCACTAGCAAAAAGTTGTGGTGACTTTTCAACACCATGACTGACACTGATGTTGACCGTTTACATGACAATTTACATGGCCTGAGATAGCTCTTTGGCTGCCTGTGAGTGACATTTCCAGCACCTGTATTTGTCTCAGTTCTGGTGACAGAAAAGCTGATTTTTCCTGACACTTACACACCAACCACTGCTTTCAATATGTTGTACCATAAACATTTTACCAGCATCCTGTGGGTGAAGCATCTTGATACTGCTGCAGTCTATAACCATTTTGTTGACATGAATGGGCAGATCCATGGGATAACAAAACTGGAGCAATTGGATGGAATGAAGTAAAACAATATTAAGGGGAATGATCTGTCTGATCACCAGCAGGGTTCACCCCCTGCTGAAGTGTTAACACTGCAAACATGGTTTTGACAACTGCTGCTGCTCCAACGAGGGCTTTTTTTCCAAGGGGATTTAACCCTGTGCTATTTCTTTCCTTCATTTGAATGTCATATGTATCTCCTGCAAAAAGAACAGATGCTTCTGCAGGGAGCTCTAATGAATGAAAAACACATAGTAGTGACATTCAGTGATCAGGCAAACCCACCATGCTTCTGAGACCAGTCTTGACCCTTCCCAGCACAAACACTTCAACACTTGATGTCCCAGCTGAGCATTCAGGACAGCAGGGAACAACCAGTGCTGCAAAACCCCTGAATGGAAAAGTGCAATATGAACACAGGCATTAGGAGCCTATGAGAGGCACTCTTGTGGCATTTAAGGCATGCATAAGTGTTCCAGATGCCAAATTCACATTGCCTTTTGACAGTTATTTTCTTAATTAGTTTAAGAATTATTTCTATTCTGGAACATCTAAAGCTGAAGTTGAAGCATGAACCTCCTTGCTGTAATACTCTGAAACTTGGCATCTTGCAGCAGACTTACTAAATTTCACCCTCCTGGACAAGAGAAAGCTTATTTTTGATTAGTTTTTCTAATTGAGGAGATATCACCTTATCTCACAAAATGTACCCAGGATGCAAGTGTTTTCAACCCCAGTGTGAGCTTGAGGTGAATACAGAAAGGAGAGAGGGTTCAGGAAACAAGAGCCTGCACATGTCAAGACGACAAATGCAGTGATTTCAAACCTGAGGGGCAAAAGGAGAATGAAGTCCCAAAGCAAGGCTGGGTTTGCTGCTGGCTTTGCCTCCTCATCTCCATCCTCATCACCAGCCACAGAAGTTCAACAGAAGAAACTGGTGTGAGCCTGGTCCAAGCAAAATCCTGCACCTACTTGACTATGAAAGCTGTGACCTAGTACAGTACAACTGTACTAGCATAACCTTTGGAGGGAATGGCAATTTCAGGGTAATAGCACCTTAAAAAATTGGCCAGCTAATTTCCCTTCTAGTACAGTCATATCCTTATTCAAATAGCTGCAGCCATTCAAGTGAATTGAACCAGTATCTTTGCAGTAGTCTCATTTTTTGCATAGGCTCTGAATCTAAGCAGCAGTAGCTCTCCATTATCTGCTGGACTGTTCACCATCCATCAAAGATATGGGAAAAAACCCTCACTTTTCTGCTCCACTGAATACTTGTCACTTCCCAGCATTTGATTTTTCAGAAAGAAACCAGCAGCTCACATGTACCCAAGCATCTCTCAACTGGATACAAACTTTGCCAAAATGTTTTTGTTGTGCAGAAGAGAGAGGAAAAGCAGGGGTAAACACCAATTATTTTGTTTCAGTGTTTTGAAAACAAGATGTTTCCATTTTTCTGTTTCAGTTGATGGCAGGTTTGTTATTAGGAAAGCTTGAAAAAAACAGTAGTTCCTCTGACATGAAAAATCCTATCTGTAATTGCTCTGTTTACTGAATATTTTGAACATTTTAAATTTTGAGGCTGAGCAGCAATAAATTTCCTTTCTTCTATTTTTCTCACCTACCAGTGAAGTGCAGAATCAGTCCCATAGACATAAGCAGCAGCAGCCCAGGCCGGGCTCCAGCCAGGCCCAGGTGATCATCTCAAAGAACATCACTGATCATCACTGTGACTTAAACAAAGCACAGCACCTATCTCAACCAGCACAACAGTTACTAAACTAGGAGGCACCAGGAAGGAGGAAAGAAGCATTTATCCATTATCATCACCTGTGTGGGGCAGCAGCCACCAGGCATCTGCTCCTCCACCAGGTGCAGACATCCCTGTAGAAGATGCTGCTACTCCAGGGAGCAATTTGTATCCACATACCATGTGCA